CCTCCTTTCCTTTTTTTCCCCTCCTTTTTTCCTCCTTCTCTTTCCTCCTTTTTTCCCTCCTTTTTTCCTCCTTCTCTTCCTCCTTTTTTCCTCCTTTTTTCTCCTTTTCTTTCCTCCTCTTTTCCTCCTTTTTTCCCTCCTTTTTTCCCTCCCTTTTTAACGTCTTTTTTCCTTTTTTTTTTCCTTCTTTTTTCCTCCTTTTTTCTTCCTTTTTTCCTCCTTCTCTTCCTCCTTTTTTCCCTCCTTTTCTTTCCTCCTTTTTTTCTTCCTTTTTTTCTCCTTTTTTCTTCCTTTTTTCCCTCCTTTTTTCCTCCTATTTCCTTCTTTTTTCCCTCCCTTTTTCTCATTTTTTGCCCTCCTTTCCCCTCCTTTTCCCCCTCCTTTTCTTTCCTCCTTTTTTCTCATATTTTTCTCCTCCTTTTATTCCTCCTTTTTTTCTCCTCCTTTTTTTTTCTCCTTTTTTTTTTCTCCTTTTTTCCTCCTTTTTCTCTGCATTTGCAGGCTCTGGCTGCTCCCTGCCTGAGCATCTCCTTCCACACCAACTTCCAGGAAAATCTTCATGGTAAGGGTTAAAAAATCCCAATTTTGGACCAAAATCTGCCCATAAAATCCCGTTCTGGCTAAACCCACTCGTGGAGAAGAGATAAATAATTTCTAGATAAATAATTTCTATTTCTGGATTGAATTCTCCCTGAGGGCAGCTGCTGAATTTTCTTTTCTTTTTGTTAAGGTTGGGGTTAAATGCGTGAAATGGTGGTTTTTGTTTAGATTTGGATGTTTATTTGTTTTTATTCGTTTTTATTTATACTTTCTTTCACAAATTAAAATCAAAATTAAATTAAATTAAATTAAAGTAAATTTATATTTCATTTCACAAATTGTGAGATTTCTAGGATTTTAACAAATTCAGAATGGGGTTGTAGTTTTCTTTTTATCAGGTTTTTTAAGGATAGACTTTAATTAATTAATTATTTAATTAATTAAGAAATGACATAAATTATTTTTATTTTTTATTTAATAACTAACTACTTGTGGCTTTTTACTTAATTATACTATACTAATACTAACACTAATACCTAAATTAATGAAGAAGAAGGATTTGCTTCTGCCTTAAATTTTTTATCTTGTTTTATATATATTATTATATTCTAAACTTTAATTTTTTTTTACTCTGATATTACACATTTTTATTTAAACCACACGTTTATAATCTTAGTTTTGCCGTGTCATTTTGGAAGTTTTTCCTCCAGCCTCAGGTGAAATGCAGATTCCTGGGGGTCAGTGCGAAATTCTAAAATTCTCAGCAGATTCCAACATCCGACAGGGACCACTGGGGGCTTTAGGTGGGGAATTGATTTTTCATTAAATGACTTCATTCTGTTTGAAAATCAAAAGAAAAAGAAAAGAAATAAAAAGAAATTGGTATAAAAAGAAAAGAAATAAAAATAAATAGAAAATATTAAAAATAAATGGAAATAAATAAACAAATAATTAAAATAAATAAAAGAAAGTAAATAAAATAAAATGATTAAAATAAAATAAAATAAATGAAATGAAATGAAATAAAATAAAATGAAATAAAATAAAAACAATAAAAAATTAAAATAAATTAAAATTTAATAAAATAAAATAAAAATATAAATAAATCAATAAAAAAAGAAATAAAATAAAATAAATACAATAAAAATTCAAATAAATTAAAATGTAATAAAATAAAATAAAATAATTAATTAATAAATAAATAAAAATTCAAATAAAATAAAATGAAATAAAATAAAATAATTACAATAAAAAATGAAAAGTAAATTAAATAAAATCATAAAATAAATACAATAAAAATTCAAATAAAATAAAATAATTAAATAAAAATAAAATAAAATGATTAAATTAAAATAAAATAAACACAGAAATAAAATAAAATAAAATAAAATGTAATAAAATAAAATAATAAATTAAAAAAATAAAATAAAATGAAATAAACTAAAATAAAATAAATACAATAACAAATGAAAATAAAATAAAATAAAATAATAAAATAAATACAATAAAAAATAAAAATAAAATAAAATAAAATAAAATGAAATAAATACAATAAAAAAATAAATTAAAATAAAATAAAATCATAAAATAAATACAATAAAAATAAAATAAAATAAAATAATTGAAATAAAAAATAAAAACAATATATAAAATAAAACAAAAAATAATAAAATAAAATAAAATAAAATAAAATAAAATAAAATAAAATAAAATAAAATAAAATAAAATAAAATAAAATAAAATAAAATAATATCCTGCCGCAGCCCTAGGTTCCGGGGTGCCCTGGCTCCCTTTGCCCCAGGCTGCAGGGCCGGGGGGGCTCCGGAGCTTTCCCAGCCCTGGAACGCTCCGGCTCCCGGGGCAGGTTGGGTTTCAGCTCCGCCAGAAAGGGGCTCTGTTCCTTCTGCCTTTGCAGCTGCTCTAAAAAAGGAACAAAAGTGCTTTTTGTGAGGGGTCACCTGAGAGGCACCACCTGGCCCGAAGGAAAAATCGGGGCCTCTGCCTTTGTCCTTTCTGATGTGAAAGTTTCCTCAAAAATCAGGCAGAAACATAGGGAAAAAAAATCAAGATAAAAATTTTGGCACACTACAAAGTCCAGAAAATCAGGCAGAAATTAAAAAAATCAAGATACAATTTTTGGCACACTACAAAGTCCAGAAAATCAGGCAGAAATTTAAAAAATCAAGATAAAAATTTTGGCACACTACAAAGTCGAGAAAATCAGGTAGAAATTAAAAAAAATCAAGATAAAATTTTTGGCATACCTGAGACTTTTGATTCCAAAGTACCTGAGTTTGGAAAACTTAATGCTTCCTTTGTTTCCATTTATTCTTTTAGAGAAAAGCATTTTTTTGTGTGTACTTGTGTTGGACCCTGAAATCATTAAGGAATTCTTTCCACATCCTTCCAGGAACAAAGTGGGGATAAAAGAGTGTTGGAGAGAAACTTTTCTCCAAAGGAATGGAATGATAGGATAAAAAGCAATACTTAAGGGTAAAAGGAGCAGATGTGAAAATTTACACTAAAAAATCCAGAAAAATAGGCAGAAACAAAGGAAAAAAATCAAGATAAAAATGTTGGCATACTCTATACTTTTGATTCCAAAGTACCTGAGTTTGGAATAATTGATGCTTCATTTGTTTCCATTTATTCTTTTACTGTGTGTAGTTGTGTTGAATTCTGAAATCGTGATGGAATTCTCTCCATATCCTTCCAGGATCAAAGTGGGGTTACAAGAGAGCTGGAGAGAAACTTTTCCCCAAAGGAATGGAGTGATAGGATAATAAGCAACACTTTAAGGATAAATACAACAGATGTGAAAATTTCCACTAAAAAGTCCAGAAAATCAGGCAGAAATGATGAAATAAAAATAAAATTGTTGGCATACTCAATATTTTTGATTCCAAAATATCTGAGTTTGGAATAATTGATGCTTTGTTTGTTTCCATTTATTCTTTTAGAGAAAAGGTTTTTAGTGAGTGTAGTTGTGTTGGACTCTGAAATCATTACGGAATTCTCTCCACATCCTTCCAGGAACAAAGGGGCGTTCCAAATGGGCATGTTCTGGAGTAGAAGAAGGGCAGGCTTGGGTTGGATTTTGGGAAGGAACCTGGGAAGGTGGAGAGGGGCTGGGATGGTTTCCCAGAACAGCTAGGGAATCCATCTGGAATTCCCAGGGCAGTAGTTGTGTTGGACTCTGAAATCATTACGGAATTCTCTCCATATCCTTCCAGGATTTAAGGGGGGGTTCCAAGAGGGCTGGAGAGAAACTTTTCCCTAAAGGAATGGAGTTATGGGCATGATGTGGAGTAGAAGAAGGGCAGGCTTGGGTGGGATTTTGGGAAGGAACCTGGGAAGGTGGAGAGGGGCTGGGATGGTTTCCCAGAACAGCTAGGGAATCCATCTGGAATTCCCAGAGCAGTAGTTGTGTTGGACTCTGAAATCATTACGGAATTCTCTCCACATCCTTCCAGGAACAAAGTGGGGGTTCCAAGAGGGCTGGAGAGAAACTTTTCCCTAAAAGCACGGAGTAACGGGCATGATGTGGAGTAGAAGAACAGCAGGCTTGGGTGGGATTTTGGGAAGGAATTCCTTGTTGGGAAGGTGAAGAGGGCTGGGATGGGTTCCCAGAGCAGCTGTGGCTGCCCCTGGATCCCTGGCAGTGCCCACGGCCGGGCTGGACGGGGTTTGGAGCAGCGGGGACAGCGAAGATGTCCCGGGGACGGAACGGGACGGGATTTTGGATGCTTCAACCCAAAGCATCCTTGAGCATCTCAGCAGAGCCGGGCAGAGCGGGCACTGTGAGGCCGTGGGGAGGAGCAGAGGGTGCTGATTTATTAAAAAATATGGATATTGATCTAGTATCGATATCCAGCTGTGACGGACAAAAACTCTCTAACAGTTTAAAGTTAGAAAGTGTATGTTTACAAATACATATTCATAATTTTGGTACATCCCATTCCCCGTTTCGTATGCTAATCACTCCAAAAGCTATTAAGCATGAGTAGTTTGTCCTTTGAAATGGGTCGGTGGTCCCTTTCATGGGGAGGGGTCCCAAAATGAGGAAGTAAATGAAGTCTTCCTCCTTCTGACCTTTCTACCTTTTCAATGCAAGTATGACAAATGAACTCTTGGTAGAACTCCCATTCCTTGTCTTCAATTGGTTTCAGAACAGAGGAGGCCACAATTGTCTCATGTTCCTAAAAGCTATTTATCAGTTTCTATATTCTTCATTATAAACCCAGCTAACCAAACATTGTGCTGACAAGCAATCAATTATTAGTTAACTACTAACTCTTAACTTCATCAAGGCCTACTCATTTATTATTCTTATTTTAATTAACTCTAGTAAGGCTTATTTCTAACTAAAATCTTAGCTCCTCAAAATCTCTAAATGCCTTAAAGTTTAGGTTTCAGTGCCGGAGGTGCGGGTTTATCCTGTGCTGTCCCGCAGCGCTGCCATGCCGAGCTGCCCGTGTCCCGTCCCGCTGCTCCTGCTGCTGGTCGCTGTCCCAGCGCTGGCGGTGCTGAAGGTGACCCCGGCCGTGCTCCACACCAAACCCCCGCAGCCTCCCGCCTCTGTGCCGGGGAAAACACCGCTCCCAGCAACGCTGTTCCCCGTGGAGAATTCCACGCTGGACTCGGCCGAGCTCTTCTTCAACTGCTGCGAATGCTGCCCGCCCGCCGGGCCGCGGGGAGCCGCAGGTGGGAGAGCCTCGCTGGGGATGGGAGCAGAGAATCCTGCGGCTTCGCCCCCGGGAAAAGGGTTTGGCAGGGTTTGTGCAGCTCCCGGGGACATCCCAGCCGTCTGCAGCTCTGGTGCTGGGGGGTTTGGGCTGGTTTAGGGGGACAGTCCTTATCACAACAGCCTGGCACTCTTCTTATCACAACAGCCTTGCACTCTTCTTCTTTCTTATCACAACAGCCTTGCACTCTTCTTCTTTCTTACCACAACAGCCTTGCATTCTTCTTATCACAACAGCCTTGCACTCCTCTTCGTCCTTATCACAACAGCCTTGCACTTTTCTCTTTCTTACCACAACAGCCTTGCACTCTTCTTCTCTTTCCCTTGCACTCTTCTTCTCTTTCTTATCACAACAGCCTTGCACTCTTCTTTCTTATCACAACAGCCTTGCATTCCTCTTTCTTATCACAACAGCCTTGCACTCTTCTTCTCTTCTTCTTCCTTATCACAACAGTTTTGCACTTTTCTTTTTCTTATCACAACAGCTCTGCACTTTTCTTCTTTCTTACCACAACATCCTTGCACTCTTTCTTATCACAACAGCCTTGCACTCTTCTTGTCACAACAGCTTTTCACTCTTCTTTTTCTTATCATGATAGCCTTGCACTGTTTCTTATCACAACAGCTTTGCACTCTTCTATCTTATCACAACAACCTTGCACTCTTCTTCTGTTTCCTATCACAACTTTTCACTCTTCTTTTTATTATCACAACAGCTTTGCACTCTTCTTCTGTTTCCTATCACAACAACTTTGCACTCTTCTTTTTCTTATCATAACAGTCTTGCACTCTTCTTCTCTTTCCATAATCTGCCATATCTGCTCCCAGACAGGCACTGGGAATCTCTGGATTCCCAAGAGGATGGAAAAGGGAAAGGATTTCAATCTCTCCTTTCTGCAGCGTGGAGCTCTCAGCCAGGTTCCCCTTCTGTATTTGCAGAATTAATTCTCCTTAAGGAAAGGGACAATCCCAAAGCTCTGGCAGCTCCTTGGATGTGCTCAGATTTTGAAGACAGATTAATTTCTGATGTTTTGTGAACCTCTGAGCTCCTGTGGCTCTGAGGCAGCTCAAAGTTGGTTTTAAAAAGTCTTTAACTGTAGCCCAGAGTGAAAGGCGAAGCTGTGAGATTTGATGATGTCAAATAAAACAAGCAGCTCTTCCCAAGGTGATGGAATCACCTCATATACACTGCTCAGGTATTGATGAAAATGCCTTTTAGAAGTTAAACCTTGGAGTTACTGACGTAATTTTGTTGATTTTACAGGTCCTAAGGGGGAGAAGGGAGATGCTGGGCTGCCAGGGCTGCCGGGAACTCCTGGCCCTCAAGGTCCAAAAGGCTCTAAAGGAGAAAGAGGTAAACCAGACTGATGGAGAATGTTGCTGTCCTCATAAAATACCACAAAATTATTTAAAAAAATTTCAAAACAAAAGAAGATTGCTGCTAGGGATTGAGCCCTGGAGAGGTTTAGGTGGCATCAGTGCAGGAACAGGAACTCAGGTGGTGGCAGTGTTTGTTCAGGTGGAATAGGAGCAGCTGCTCATAAAGACCTCACTCAAAAATTCTTGTTCAGAACAGGAGTTCAAAATCCTGGTTCAATTTGCTTTGGATGAAGAACAGAAGTAGGAAAAAGCCACCACGGAAGTTGTGTACAGGTGTAAAATCTGCATTTCAATTTCAATATCTCAGGCAAAAGAACTTTAAGATGCTGAGCAGTCATTATCCATCAGTATTCCTGAAAGGAAACCCTGCCCTTTGTTTGGGGCTTGGAGCAGCTTTATCCTGGCAGGATCCTGCTGCTGCCTCTGGAGAACCACCCAGGCTCCCGGCAGCAGAGGCTGGTTCAGTCCCTGCAGCCCCTTAGGCAGCGATTTACTCCTGGAAAAAGCTTTTTTGGCTTTTTGAATGAGGAATGAGGGATGAGGGATGAGGGATGAGGAATGAGGGGTGAGGGATGAGGAATGAGGAATGCAGAGCTGTCACCTTCTCCATCGTCCATTGAAGAGCAGCAACTGCCTCACAGAGGGGCAGAAATCTCGGAGTGAGGTGGTGGGATCCAGCTGAGGTTCCTGAAGGTGTTTCCTCAAAACCCACCTTGCTCACGTCTGTTTTATGAATGAAGTGAGGGATGCACGCTGATGGTCCCAATGGGGTGTGATGCTTGCTTTGCTGCACACACCAGCACCAATTAATTAATTGATTAATTAATTCATGCTGGAACATCCTAGGAGGAAAAGGGGAGCAAGGGGAGCGAGGAGCGAGTGGAAGCCCCGGTTATCCAGGGAAACCTGGGCTGCAAGGTAGGCCTGGAAAATCCAGGATTGCTCTGACCTTTCCCTCTGTTCTGGGTTTTGCAGCAGCATGGAAGGACCAATCCCTTTGGATGGTCCTTCCATCTTCAGGGCAATCCAATTTTATTTGTTTTAATCTTTTTTCCCCCAGGTGAAGCTGGAGCCAAAGGCAACAAGGGCAGCTACGGCTTCCCTGGCCTGAAGGGACAAAAGGGGGCTAAAGGGGACACCTGTGACAACGGCACCAAGGGAGACAAAGGGGACAGGGGCGATCCCGGAGAGCCGGGAGCGGGCGGGGAGCAGGGCGACAAGGGAGAAAAGGGGGACACGGGGGAAAAGGGCTATTGTGGGGAGCCGGGGGGCAGAGGGGCCAAGGGGGACAGAGGGGAAGGGGGCACCAAGGGGGAGAAGGGCAGCAAAGGGGACGCGGGCACCGAGGGCACGCGGGGGGCGGCCGGCAAACAGGGAGAGAAGGGCGAGCAGGGCCGCAAGGGCGACAAGGGGGACCTGGGCCCCGTGGGCGCCAAGGGCGAGCCTGGCACCAAGGGCGGCCGCGGCGCCCCGGGCAGGAAAGGTTCCCGTGGGGCCAAAGGCGCCCCTGGGCACGTCCCCAGGGCCCCGCGCTCGGCGTTCAGCGCGGGGCTCTCCAGGCCCTTCCCTCCTCCCAACGTGCCCATCAGGTTTGACCGCGTGTGGTTCAACGAGCGCCACGATTACGACCCCGCCACGGGCAAGTTCAACTGCAGCGTGCCCGGCGCCTACGTCTTCTCCTACCACGTCACCGTGCGCGGCCGCCCCGCGCGCCTCAGCCTCGTGGCCAGCAGCAGGAGGGTGGCCAAGGCCAGGGACACCCTCTACGGCCAGGACATCGACCAGGCCTCCTTCCTGACCATCCTCAAGCTGAGGGTGGGCGACCAAGTGTGGCTGGAGGTTGGGAAGGACTGGAACGGGCTCTACGCTGGCGCGGAGGATGACAGCGTCTTCACAGGGTTTCTGTTGTACCCTGATGGTTTTGAGGTCCTTCTGTGAGTTTATAATGTCTTTTCCCTCCCGGTGTGAGAGGAGAAAAGGGCAGCACCTTGGTTTAGTTGTTATTTTTGTGATGTTTTAACAAAAACACTTATATTTGCAAGGCATGGATTAGTTTGAAGAAGTCATGCATCCTTCGCCCGTTGTCCAAGCACCAACAGGACCAGCATGGAGAGGGCATTTCCCAGCACAGTTTGTAATTAGAATATTCAAATCATGGAATGAAACTCCTTCCCAGCTCCTGCAGTCCTTGCATGGCCCAAATTCCCTCTAGGAATCAGTTCTGATCACCTCTGATTTTGACAAATGCCAGGATTTGATTTATAGAGCTGGGAACATGAGCAGTAGTTTCCTTGAGATCACCCGAAAATATTTAAAGCTCTTTTATCCTTGAATCAGTATTATTTAGTGCTTTAGTTTTGGTCTAAAAGAGTAGTAGATCAATGTAAAAAACCCTTCTAAATCTTGTTCTTAAACAAAAATAAATCTGAAACTTTCAAAAGTAGCTGAGAGATGAATATTTGACTTTATTGGCCTACTCAGACCACCAGGTTCTGAGCCTCTGATGCTGTGGGATCATCCTCGGGATCAGCCAGATGGGAACATGAGCAGCAGGTTCCTTGAGATCACCTGAAAAGAATTAAAGCTCTTTTATCCTTGAATGAGTGTTATTTAGTGCTTTAGTTTTGGTCATGAGTTATATGAAAAATTGTCTAAAAAGAGTATCAGATCAGTGTAAAACCCAAATCCTCAATAAATCCAGTGTTTGCAGTGAGAGAGAGGCTCCTGCTTCCCCTTTAATGCCTGCAGAAAGACCAAAAAAATGTTTTTTGCAGGTGCTGGTGCTTCCCAGGTACCTCTTTTGCTCTGGACCAGCTTTTGGGTGAAAAATCTGGGGAAAAAGAGGAGATTTGGGAGTCATTTGAAGAGCATGGTTGTTGTGGATACCAAGTCAGAACTCTCAAATCCATTTTACAGGCTGTGGTCTCTATTCTATATCCAGGTTATTTTCTTGTTCAGATGTAAACTGGATTTTGGAAGCATTTTTGGACAAATTAATATGCAATGTGAGGGGAATTGGACTAAAACCATTTGTGGGATCAGCCAGAGCAATGAACCTTTGGAGCTGTGGTGTTGAGGGATAGGTTGGATATTCCAGACTCAGCTGTGGACACAAAAATGCCCCAAAAACTGTGCAGAAAATTACAATATTTTCATCTCCTTGAAGAGAATTCCTGTTCTGTGCTGGTAGGAGGCCCCTGAGGAGTGAGTGAAGCAGGAATCCCACCCGTGCCAATCCTTCTGAACGGGTGCCAAAGAGCAAATTTGGGATTTCTGCTTCCAAAATCCCCTGGGAAATTGGACAAACAGGCTGAGCAGTGGGATTGATGTGTTTTTTCCAGAAGGATCTGCTGTGCATTTCCCCCCTGGTGTGGATGTGTCTCCCCTGGGGTTTTTAGTGGGATTTTGACAGGATTCCTGAATATTGGACATTTTTTTTCCGGGAGGATCTATTGTGCATTTCACTCCTGGTGAGGATGTGTCTCCCCTGGGGTTTTTAGTGGGATTTGGGCAGGAGTCCTGAATATTGGACATGTTTTTCTAGTAGGATTTGCTGTGCATTTCCCCCTCAGGTGGATGTGTCTCCCCAGGGGTTTTTATTGGGATTTTGACAGGATTCCTGAATACTGGACATTTTTTTTCCTGGGAGGATCTATTGTGCATTTTCCTCCTGGTGTGGATGTGTCTCCCCAGGGGTCTTTAGTGGGATTTTGGCAGGATTCCTGAATATTGGACATTTTTTTTCCTGGGAGGATCTATTGTGCATTTTCCCCCTGATGTGGATGTGTCTTCCCAGAGGTTTTTAGTGGGAATTTGAGTGGATTCCTGAACACTGGACATTTTTTTCCAGGGGGTTCTGCTGTACATTTCCCTCCTCATGTGGATGTGTCTCCCCAGGGGTTTTTAGTGGGAATTTGAGTGGATTCCTGAACATTGGACATTTTTTTCCAGGAGGTTCTGCTGTGCATTTCCCCCCTGGTGTGGATGTGTCTCCCCAGGGTTTTTTTTGTGGGATTTTGGCAGGATTTCTGAACATTGGACATTTTTTCCAGTAGGATTTGCTGTGCATTTCCCTCCTGGTGTGGATGTGTCTCCCCAGGGTTTTTTTTGTGGGATTTAGGCAGGATTTCTGAACATTGGACATTTTTTTCCAGTAGGATTTGCTGTGCATTTCCCTCCTGGTGTGGATGTGTCTCCCCAGGGCTTTTTAGTGGGATTTTGGCAGGAGTCCTGAACAGTTCTTTGGGAGGGAGCAGGCTCCTGGATTTGGGGTGATGCCCTTGGGATCAGGTTGTGGCCCTGAGTTTGTTCAGCTTCTCCTCTGTTCCTGGTGGGATTCATCCCTCTGGCTCCAGAGAGGTTTTAATCCTGATTTTTCCAGCTTCATGCACGCTCAGGGAGGAGGAATTTGCCTCTGGGTCCTGCCCAGTGCTGTAGGCACCTCTGAAATCCTGACTCTCATCCCTGAATTTGACTTCAGAGGTGGAGCTGAGCACAACTTCCAGCTGAATAACAATAATGGAAAAGAACTCCAGGCTCTTGGAGCAGTAATCAGAGTTCTAAACAGCCACACCACAGCTTTTTCCAAATTTATCTTCCCATTCCTTCATCACTGTTGTTATCCCTGTTTACCTCCAATTGAAATCTTTCCACTCAATTGGTTCTAATTGACTCAGTCACTTTAAGGAATATAACTGGGGAGAAAAAAAGAGACTTAAATATATATTTTTTTTTTCCTGTTAAAACCATCCTAAAATGAAAAGAAAAAGATAAATCCAAATTATGAGCTGCTGTTCCCTACGGAGCCCAAATTCATCTGTGACATAATTGGAATTACAGCATCTCTTGGCAGCCCAAAAGAGTAATCAAGGAGAAAAACTAAACCCAGCCCAGGCCCTGGAAAGTTATTTTAAAACTAAAATGAAGCACTTGAGCAAAGTGACAGAAAATAAAAGCAGTTTTAGTGAGTTTATTCTGAGTAAACAAGATATAATTGAAAATACAGGGATATCAACAACTCCAAGATTAAAATGACATCACAAGCAATATCTGGAATTCTATGATTTCAGCACAGAAAACATTTGGATTTTAGCTCACGTGCCCATATTACTCTGTAATAGACACAGCAATATTGGGTAAGGAAATGTCCTGCTATCACAGGTTTTGTTTATTTTTTTTTTAATTATTTCTTGCTGTCTTGTTCCACCTTGAGTCCAATCATGTGGATTTTTTGCATGAGTCCATGACTTTTTGAGTCCATGGGTCTCCATGGATCCCAGGCTGATCCAAGGTGGAATTTTGATTTTCAGGTAACTGAAGGATCACTGAGGGGAAGTTGTCCAGGAAAGAGAACATTCCCTCTTTTCAAATGGAAAATTTTTCTGGAGCTCCTTTGGAGTAAGTGTCAGATTTTAAAACATTCTGCAAACCCATCCTCACCTGTGGATTTCTTGTGGACATTTTGTGTTTGAGATCCAGGGAATGCCTTTTCCTTTAACCCCAGGCTGAATTTAACCCCTGAGCTCTGCTTGGAGCATCACCCAGAGCCAGTGCTGAGAGTGCATCCAATAATCCAGGAATCACTGGAAAACCCAGGAATGTTGAAGATCTGACTTGAATTTTGCTTTTCAATCCCACTGTGTTGAGCAGGATTTCAAAGACTTCAGAAAGAAAGGAACTTAAAATGCTTCTCAGTTGGGACCCATCATTTGTAGCTTATTAAAACCCAGCTCTAAGTTTTTATTAGATAATCAATAAACCTAATCAAGTTTTATAGGAAGGGTGCTTTTATTTTATGCTGTCATAAATTCTCCTCGTTTTGCCTATCAACATTTACAAGGTGTTAGAAGAGCACTTAGAAAAAGAAACCCAATCCTGACTCTCATACCAGTTTCTCAGCAGGTGGGTTGGATTGGCCACCAGGCTCAAACAATCCTCACCAGAATCCAACCAAGCACTCACTCCAGGTAAACAATTCTCCAAACACATTCCACATGGGAAAACAAGGAGCAGAAATAGAAATTGTTTTCTCTTTCATTTCTCTCTGTGCACCTCTATGAAAATCCTGAGAGGGAGAAAAATGTGCTTGCCACACCTACTCCCATATATTTGCCTTAGAGCCCCTTAATTTCAAATTTATAACAATTCAGAGGGATGAGGTTTGCATTTTCCATTTCAGGGGAGGCTCCTGCCTTCCTCAGCAGACTCCTGCATTTTCCAACCCTTTCCCCAGCACTGCCCCATGTCCCCAAGTGCCACATCCACAGGGCTTTAACCCTGGCAGGGATGGAGTCCTGGACAAGCCCTTTCCATGGTGAGATTTGCCCAATATCCCACATTTTTTAGCACTGCTTTAGTTCAAGGACAGGCTCAGGAAGCGTTGCCAAGGGACTCCAGGTGCCCTTCTGCTGTGCAATATTGTGTCCTATTTTCCCATCCCTCAGAGTTTGCAGACGCCTCTGATACAACAACCACTGCATATTTTCATTTCTTTTTCTGCTGTAATTTATTTCTGGCCAAGAAGACGTGCCTGGGTTATTTATCCTCTCTTAATGGCTCTGTTTTCTGGGAGTAACTTGCCTTTTGTGGCCGAGCAGGAGGTGACGGTGACAGCCAGGCTGTGACCTGGAATGATGTGACTGCTTTGATCCTGACCTTAAAACCAGGGCAGGAGGCTTTTTTTAAATTTTAATACTTCTTCCTGCTACAGCTGCTCTAATTTTAGAAGAAATTGTACTTATGAATAAGTGTTGATGATGCATTTTTATGGCACAGGGGTTTGGAAAGGTCTCTGCTGTGAGGAATTACGGGAGTGGGGCCTGGCGGTCGCCTCTGAGGCCAGGAGGGGATTTTGAGCTTTGGTGTTTTGGCCTTTGGAGGCAAAACCCATGGAACATCCCATAAAATATCCATTATTTGCTGTCTAAATATAAAACAAGTCAATGCTTAATATGGGAAGACAAAAACCAGCAATCTGGTAAATGGGAACCTGTGGGAACTCAGAATGTCCCTCAGACATTTTTGGATGTTCCGGGCCCAGGTCAGAAGCATTTGAGGCCCTGGCAGGCAGCTGGAAACAGCTGTGATTTTGGGTTTGAGCCATGGAACAATTTACCAACCTTGCAGGGAGAACAAGAAGTCACAAAAGTTTAGATATTAGAGTAGAAGTAGTCACAAAGTAGAGGGAAGAATTTTTGAGTGCTGTACAGGGGTCAGAAGTTTTAAGATGGAGGGATCTGGGCCTGCCCTGTCCTCCCTCTTTCTCCTTCCTTACCTCCATGTTCTTGGTGATGTTGGCACCCACAGATTGGTTTAGAGTAGAAAAGCACCATT